AATAAAATTTTACTGGCACGCCACCACGTTCCCCCATTGCCTGCTGCCGTTAGCTCTTTTCATGCTACAACAGCAGAGTCGAGTCATTGCAACAGGGATTATTTGGCCTGCAAAGTCTGAAATATTTAGCCCTTTCTAGGAAGTGTTCACCAGCCCCTGGGGAAGCCTTCAATCATGTACTGTTTTAAAGAGGAGGAGGAGGGACGTAAGCCACGTGGCTAAGCCTGTGATCACAGTGACTTAGGCAAAGAAGGGTGTCTGTCCAGTAGCTGTTACTGCCCGAGCATGCCTTACGCAATGGAGAGAAAGAGGAGGGTGAACGGAGAAGCCCTGGAGACCGTGCCCAAGGGCATCACCTGCAAGGACTCCTGAGTAAGCAATGCCCCAGGTGCCAGCGTGAGGTCTTCCTTGCCAAAATAGCCACCCTGCATCAGCGATTTGTTACCCACGAGGTCGGATACTTAGCAGAGAGGGCAAATGCAAGTTCTCATGTTAAGGTCAAGGTCATTTGGTCACTGAAATGAGTAAAGGAATTTGGGGGGAGAAGTCAGAGAAGACTTTCTCTCACTCTGCTGGTGAGACATCAACCTCCTCAAGCTGTCACCCCTTGAGGGCAAGAAGCTCTGCAGGTGAGAGGCCACAGAAGTAGGAGGGAGCCTGGCAGTATGACTGTCCGGGGCTGTGCTGTGTCCTCTTAAGCAGCATGGCTTGTCATTGCTTAAAGGCTCTTGATAGCACTTTGTGTTCATCTCATCGTCAAAACATCTCCATGGGGGAGTAGCAAGTGATCTCATCCTAATCAGCTGGTGTTTCACAGGTGGAAAGAGACTCCAAGTTAATTTAGCCTCATGTTCTATAATGTCTGCAGAATTGATCCTTGGTCCCAGCCAGTTGCTTCTCTAACTCGTGGTCCCTGTGAGTGTTCTCCTTGTTTGTCTCTATTGTCTTCTCCCCAAATTCTAATTCCCCTGGAGATCTGAGGGTATGGCTTATAAATGTTTGGACTATAGAGAATGTCCTCAGTCTAATGAGACCTCTTAAATATAAACTGCAGAAACTGAGGTCCAGCAAGGAAACTGGAGGACCATGTAATTGATGAGAGCGGAACTAGAACAATAACCAGTCCCTTGATTTGCAAGCTAGTGCTTGCATCCTTTGTATTCCCCCATATCGATGTAGATGTGCTTAGTAGTACTTCTGGTGATGACCTAGATAGAGACCTCGTCTTCCCAAGTTGGTCACTAGCCCTGTGTTGGTTAAAGATCCCAGCTACTACTGATATCACTACTGGCTTTAACTCTCACCTCTTGAGCATCAAAAACATGTGACTTACCTTAAGAAACCAGAAAAAGATGAGCAAGTTAAACCCAAAGGAAGCAAAAGGGAGTAAATAATAAAGACTAGAATTAAAATAAGTGTTGTAAAGAATAGAAAAACAATAGAAGGCGTCAATGAGACCAAAAATTGACTCTTTGAAAAAAATCAACAAAACTGATACATCTTTAGCTATACTGACTGACCAAGAAAGTCAGAAGGGGCCCTCCCTGGTGGCACAACAGGGTAAGGCGAAGCACTATGAAGGTGACCCATGTGGCATGTGGCAAACAGACCTCTCCTGACTCACCTGCTGCTCCCCTCAGCAGTGGGTTTCAGTCGAGCTGCTTGTTCTGCTCCCCACTCTGTCTCTGGGGAAACCTCTCACCAGCCCCCCACACTTGTATGCATATATATGTATATGTATATATATATACATATATACAAACATATATATATAACAAAACAATAAATCAGACATGGAATGCACAGGGGGGATTATGGGGGAATACTATGAACAGCAGTGTGCCAACAAAACAGATAACTTGGATGAAAACAACAAGTTTCTAGAAAGACACACATGATCACACACTGATTCAAAAAGGAAAAACCTGTACAAGGCCCATCACAAGATCAAAATAGTAACTTAAAAACTTGCAGCAGGGCCCTCCCTGGTGGTGCAGCGGGTTAAAACACAGCACTAAGAAGCTAAAGCCACTCAGCATGAGTTCGATCCCCACCCCAGAGGTGATCCACATGGTGCGGCAG